CAGACAACCTCTCGTCAATATGCGTTTTTCGCATTGCATTGCTGCAAAAAACGCATAAAAAAGGAACTAAGGACTAGTGGGCCTAGTATATCCGTAGCCGCGTGACGGTCTATTTCGGTAAGAGAACTAAAATCGAATTTTCATACTGACTGGTTAGGCGTTTTTGGACATCTCGTTCATCGTTTCGTTCACATTAGAAAATTGCAAACTGGGTACCAGTCCAATTATTTCTCGCAGTTATCTCAGTCAGGAATGGTATACTGTTATAAACAAGTAAGAATTGATTATCCAGATAAAACAGCGAACAGTTAGAACAGTAACAAAAAGTACCCTGCTTGTTGACTGCCACCAGCAATATTATCAATGTCACAGAGCGATTGATACAAACATGAAGATAGTCCCTGGCATAAGCTATACAGCTTATACACCTGAACAGCCATCAGTTAAAGTCAAAAAAATAAAACAGACTTTTTCGCCCAATTGGCACTAACTGAAAAAATTAAGGCCAACCTTGGTAAGTGAGCACTCGATCAGCGGTGGCTCAGAAATATCAGTCAGTGAGAGCAAAATATCCGAGCAAAGGGTTTTCACAAAACTTAACGGCGAGGAGACGAACATTTTGTACGGTGACACCGAGGCGATAAACAATGGAAAAGGATGCGCCACAGGCAATGAATCTAAACTCAGATTATCACAGCGGCAATCGTAAATCAGCTGACAACCATAATCAACTACTTCAACAAATTCGCGCACAAAATCGTCTGACAAAAACAGATATTACGGAGTACTAAAAAAAAAAAGTTTCAAGATTCTGAAGCGCGGCCGACTCTTTGAGCTTTAACTCACCGCTGAACGGCGTGGAGGATCCGCCATCTTGCTGCACCTCCATAAGTAATAAAAGGAGTTCCATGAGAGCAGACGTTAAGCGATGATTCTGAGAATTATGCAATGTGCAATATGAGGTGAAGGCACGCAACAATTTCTGATTGCTGCATAACCAACGTCTGCGATGCAAGTCTGACTGAATACGAGAGATCGACGGCTCTGTACGATCTACGACATAGAGCGCTTTGTGCACTGACACACTACCGGTGCTGGAATTAATCTGATAATGCAGCATCGAAGCAACACACTTGCTTACAAATGAACAG